GATTTAAAATCTATGAAAGCTGCATACAATGAGGTTAAAGAATTCGAGGAGTATTTGGAAATTAAATGGTTCAATATAACACATTGATCTAAACATGACCGTCCCTCTCTAAAGCCTGCTTGTTCCTGTCTCAAGAAACCTTCCTGCTCCATCCAGTCTTTTAGCTTCCACTGTAAGTGTTTTGAATAAAGCTTACTTATTATACTTAGCAGACTGATCGGCCTATAATTAACAGGATCTGCTCTGTTCCCTTTCTTGTAAATAGGCACTATTATTGCCACCCTCCAGTCTTTAGGTATTCTACCAGTTCTATCTATAGTTGTAAATAAAGTAGCAAGGACTGGAACCCACCACTCGAGGTTCCTCTTGATCAAGTCTGCGCATATAAGATCAGAACCTGGGGCTTTGTTGGAGCTCAGGGTCTGTATAAGGTTCTTAATTTCTTGAGGATGCACAGGGGTCCAAGAGGGTAAGGTAGCTATATCCAGGTCCTCTGTAGCAGCCTCATCCTGGACTTGGTAGAGCTGCTCGAAATAATTTTCCCAAATTTCAGGGAGAATTGTATTACTGCACACTGAGGGAGGCCTAGTAGTACAATTAGAGACCATATTCCAGAATAAACAGGGTTTTTTATCTCTGCATGCTGAGCTTAATTGCTCCCATGCAAGGGCTATGGCGGCCTTCTTTTTTCGCTGTATCAAGGCCTTATATTGTTTCTTTAAGATTTTCATGTCTTCTAGGGTGTCCTTGTCTTCATCACACCTATATTTGATATACATAGCATTAAGAGCACTTTTCATAGATCTACACTCTTTATCAAACCAAGACCTTGAATTACTGTTAATTAATCTATTTTGTTTAAAGGAAGGCTTCCCCATTACGTTTTGTATTTCTTTTATAATATGAGCATAAGCGTCCAGATGTAAATCATCCTGACCCTCAAATCCTAACTTAGTTAAACACTCATCAAGGACACCAGAACTCAAAAGTTCTACCATTTCTTTCTCTCTCCTTTCATTCCAGGGTACCCTATAATACTCATTTCCTTCCTCATTACCCTCCAGATGTAAATCTGAAATTCGTGTGTGTGTATTGGACTCCCCTGTCCACCAAATGGAGCCTCCTTACTCTGACATCGGAACGGTAGAGCTCCTAAGTCATCAGATGGATGCAGAGCATTCTCTGTCTCCTTCTCCGTCGTCTCATCACCATCGACATCGTATGCTCCCGACATCGATCCACGTTATCGTATGCTCCCGACATCGATCCACGTTGGCACCGATACACCTCATGTGACACGCAGCGTCACCCTCCTCGTCTGCTCACTCAATCTGTCGGTATCGAAAACCGACATTACAGGGACGATTCCCGCAGACAAGCTACTGCTTTGTCTCCCAGATGTCCACGGTCCAGAAGTCGCTCCCCCAGAGTCTTCCTACCCCCACCACCACCGATGTCGTGGGATCAATGACAGTTGAGATACCTCTACGGGGCTTATCCACTGTCCATGCCGTGGTTGACTCCAGCGGGCTACTCAGATTGGGATTGCTATTCGACCCACATCGTTCATCGGTCGAGAACCCCCACAAGTCGAGGCCTTCAGCATCTCTGTCGCGTCCTCCAGTAGTCGATCCGTCCAAGCATGTTCTGGAACTAAGTCGTCCTCTCAATCCTCCGGTCACTCCAAACCCTGTTGTTCCTGTTGTCCAAGCTAAACCTTCTCAACAGGACACTTCGGCCCACACACCACAACAAGACTCCTCTGACTTCATGGAAGAGGACTCAGATACAGAAGCTTTGGAGGCTCATACCTCTCCTGACCATACATCTCCCAACCAGGATGTCGCAGAAGACTTACCTGTCTCTCCATCTGACAACCTTACCTCTTACACTGACCTAGTCAAGAGAATGGCCCACTCCTTCGGCCTCTCTGTCATCCAGCAACATCCACAGGCAACAGATGCTGTCTACGATATAGTTCAGCTAGACACCTCGTCCACCTTGGCATTGCCCATGTCCTCTGTCCTTCTGCAGGTGGCAAAGTCACCATGGCTAAAGCCTTCTTCTGCTCCTGTGTCCACAAGGAAACTGGACCACATGTACAGAGTTCAAGAGTCAGATGCTGAATTTCTCTTCTTGCATCTGAGGCCCAATTCGATGGTCGTGTCATCCTTATCAAAGACCAAACGTACCCTTGCTACTCCTACGGATAAGGAGAGTAAGAAGTTGGATTCCATGGGCAGACGCTTTTATTCAGCAGGCGCTCTGGGCATTAAAACATATAACTAGATGGCCTTTTCAATGCTACCACAGATGGCCTTTTCAATGCTACCACAGATTCTACTCTACAAGAGTTAGACAAAAGCATAAAAGCTTCTTGAGCTCTAGGAGTCTCGTTTGCTGCTAAGCAACAATACTGCTCCCACACCTGGTTGAGGTCCTGGCAGAGGCGTACACCAACTCATCAGTCTCCAGACACACAATGGAGACCACGAGCGTCTTCGGGAGGCGAAAGTCCTGCTTTTCAAAAACCAACATTTAGTTCAGGCCAACAAGCTTCCCGCACCAAACAGTCCAAACCCTCCAAGCAGGGTTTTTGACTTCCCTATCACCGAGTCAGCTCCTACCCGTCTGTTTCCTTTCCTTCACACCTGGTGTCTCATCACCTCAGACGAATGGGTGCTGTCCATCTTGACCCGAGGTTACAAAATTCAGTTCCATCAGAACCCCAATACTCCTGTCATCGTCTCCACGCCCCTTTCCCCACCTCTCCTCGAGAAAGTGTCCATCCTTCTGCAGAAGGGAGCCATCAAACAGGTACCACCACACCTCCAAGGGATGGGATTTTATTCCCGATACTTCACAGTCCCGAAGAGAGATGGAGGCGTTCGACCCATATTAGACCTAAGGGAACTGAACTGTTCTGTGACCTACCACCGCTTCCGCATGGTATCCCTACAACAGATCATGCCACTGCTTCGCAGACACATCTGGATGGCCACCCTCGACCTCCAAGATGCATATTTCCACCTTTCTATCCACCCCTTCCACCATCAATACCTACGCTTTGCGATTGGTCAACACCACTATCAATATACGGCCCTTTCATTTGGCCTTTCCAGTGCCCCAAGAGTCTTCACGAAGACCATGATTGTAGTTGCAGCTTTCCTACGTCTCCGGAGCGTGTCCGTCTACCCATACATACATGATTGCCTTCTGGTGGCGCCTTCGAAAAACGCCCTGGTTTCAAACGTCACAGAGATTCTTGCACTACTGCACAAACTGGGCCTACGAGTCAATCACCAAAAGTCTCATTTGTGTCCGGCCCAGCGAATACAGTATATAGGCGCAATACTGGATTCACAAACATGCATGGCTTACCTGCCCCAAAACAGGGCAGCAGATATCATTTCCCTAGCCACTGTCGTCCGTACCCAACCCACCGTCACTGCCTTCCAAATCCAGAGGCTATTAGGCCTGATGGCTGCAACTACCTCAGTCTTCATCTTCGCCAGGCTCAAAATGCATCCGTTGCAACTCTGGTTCATTCACAACTTCAACCAATCGAAAAACGCACACACTGTCGTCCTATCCCCTCTTCCCAGCATACAGGACTCTTTACTTTGGTGGACCTTCCCTTCAAATATCCTTCAGGGAGCACCCTTCCACCCTCCATCACCCGAGGTCACCATTATGACGGATGCTTCCCTGACGGGATGGGGTGCACACTCCATGGGCCTCTCTGTTGGGGACAAGTGGAATATGCAGATGAGGAAGCGACACATAAACTTCCTAGACCTGCTGGCTATACAGCACGCTGTCACCAGTTTTCTCCCTTTAATCAAGGGAAAATGTGTCACAGTCCTCATGGACAACACCATAGCGCTTTCCTACGTCAACAGGCAAGGAGGCACTGTTTCCCAACGACTCTGCACCCTCGCCATTCAGCTCTGGGAGTTTTGCATCACCAACAACATATTCCTCATCGCAACTCACATTCCAGGACACATGAATGTGCAGGCAGACCATCTAAGTCGAGCGGGACTCAGCCAACATACCTCCTCCCACTCTTCCACAAGTGGAGACCTCCCCAAGTCGATGTCTTCGCAAGCAGAAACAACAAAAAGTGTCCTCTGTTCTGCAGTCGGGGAGGCAAAAACCCACAATCCCTGGGAGACAGTCTCCTTTACCCTTGGTCCACGGGACTTCTTTACCTATTCCCCCCCTTACCACTGCTTCTGAGAGTGGTCCATAAGATACTCAAAGACGCCGCGGACTGTATCTTAATAACCCTATGGTGGCCGAGACAACCTTGGTTTTCAACGGTTCTGGGGTTATCACAGGGGATATACCATCAATTCCCTCAGGCTCAGGACATCCTCCCTCTCTCAGACTCCCCCGTCCTACATCACGACATAACACAGTTGAAACTGACGGCATGGAGGATAACATCACCAGCTTCTCCTCCCGTGTAGTTAATGTCCTATTGAATTCCAGGAAGCCTACTACGTGCAAGTCCTACGATTATAAATGGAGAAGATTCTGTTCTCACCTAGGTGATGACACCCCTCAAGCCACCTCGGTGGGTCTCAACAGAGTTTTCCGATTCCTCCTCTCCTTAGCTGACTCAAGACTTTCCCATTCATCGTTAAGAGTTTATTTGGCTGCTCTCTCGGCCTAGCATGTTCCAGTTGACGGATGCACTTTGTTTTTTCATCCGATTTCCAAACGGTTTTTAAAAGGTTTGTTACACCTCTACCCCCCTGTAAAAACTCCAGTCGCTCCCTGGAACCTTCCTCTAGTTCTACGCCAGCTCACGAGGAAGCCCTTCGAGCCACTTGCAACATGCGACCTCAAGCTCCTGGCATGGAAAGCTGCCTTTTTAATTGCCATTACCTCGGCTAGGTGAGTGGGAGAAATGTTGGCCTTCCGCCATGATACCCCTTTCCTGTCGTTCCTGCCAGACGGAGCCCGCCTCATCACAGACATCTCCTTTCTTCCGAAGGTGGTGTCAGAGTTCCACCTGCAGGCAGAGGTCTTCCTCCCTAACTTCTTTCCAAATCCAACATCAGCGAAAGAAGAGTTATTACACACTTTAGACATGAAACGCGCTCTCCTGTTCTACGTTAACAGAACACTCCCAACTAGATGAGACTCACAACTATTCGTCTCATACGCTTCTCCACGGCATCACAACCCAACGTCTGTCAAAGTGGATTGTAGGTCTAATCCATCTATGTTACCTACTCGCCAAACAGCCATTACCTGGCCCTATCAGGGCTCACTCTACCAGGGCTGTCGCGACTTCCACTGCCTTCCTCCAGGTAGTGCCAATAACGGACATTTGCAAAGCCGCTACGTGGGCCACGCCTAACACCTTCATCAGGCACTACGCCCTAGACGTCCGTACAAACACCAATACCAACATGGGACATCACAGTCTGTCTTCGGCTATGCAGTAAAAGACCTGCCAGCACCCTCCTCCAGGTAGGCTACTGCTCGCTAATCTCCCATGGGTGTGAAGCACAGAGACCACGTCGAAGATAAGCAGGTTGCTTACCAGTAACTGGTAATCTTCAAGTGGTCATCTGTGCATTCACACCACCCACCCTCCTTCCCCACTGCTGTCAGCTTCTACATTTTTGAATAGGGGTTGATTTGCGACAGTTTGTAGGAACTGGTGGGATGTCCACACCCACCCCTCTGGGCATGTGCAGTGGGGTTCCTGCGCATGCCCGAGGGACTGGGCGTGAAAATCCGTTAAAAAAGAGCTTGCTACAGCACTGATCGATCCAGCGCGTGCGCACTAGATCCCATGGGTGTGAATGCACAGATGACCACTCGAAGATCACCAGTTACTGGTAAGCAACCTGCTTTTTCTGCTGCAAGCTGCCAAAACTGATTTCCCTTGAGGTCAGTCCTGGAAAGGGTAGTATATATCAATGCACTTCCACAGATGTACTGCCTCAGCAATGTAATTTTTTGCATACCTAAGATTGATAGGAAAAACACATTGGGGAGTATATACAAGATGGTAGGCAATTCCTGGTACCAAAGCAGCTGCTTCTTCCAGTTATCCTGGTGGGGGGAAAGGTGGCATATGAATTACATAAATAAGCTTGTTGTGTCCGAGTTTGCAGTTAGGGGTCCAGATTGTATTTTTACTGTAGGAACAAGTTTGGTTCTGGCACCTCCAGTTACTAATGACTACTGTCTACCAACCATATTATATAGTATGATTGATGGCAATAAGAGATCACTCTCTTTTATTTCAGAATGTAAAGCTGACTGTGAGGCCTGCTTTAACAGTAATTTCTGCACAAAGTGTAAAAATGGGTTTTATTTACATCTTGGAAAGTGCCTTGAAAACTGCCCAGAATGGTTGGAACCCAACAATTACACAATGGAGTGCAATGATATTGGTAAGTAAACTAACAGTCTTAAAAGCTGTACCCAAATGGCCCTCCTGAATTTCTTTTGGCTATATCAGTTCTCCCCCCGGAACACCCCGCAAATCCCCCCACCGGAGTGACAAGGGGACCTGGCAACCCTAGTATGTGTGCATATGCGTGTGTGAAGTGCCATCAAGCTGCAGCTGACTTATCGTGACTCCCCATGAGGTTCTCAAGGCAAGAGATCTTCAGAGGCGGTTTGCTAGCCATTACCTGTCTATGCATAGCAACCCTGGAGTTCTACAGTGGTCTCCCTTCCATGTACTAACCAAGATCGATTTTGCTTAGCTTCTGAGATTTGACAAAATTGGGTTCGCCTGGGCCATCCAGATCAGGGCAATCTGAAATCCCTATCTGATATAATTGTTTGAACACTGAGTATATATCAAACTACATGCCAAACTAGTCAACTTCTCTCTCAGTTACAGAATTGCAAACCCAAGGTCACTTCATTAGAGTTGATAAATGACCAGAGAAATGACCTGTTCTGCTCCTGTGCCTTTAAAAGCATCTTCACCTAAAGAAATCAGCAGGTGAAGTCTGCTTAGCATAGACATAAGCATCATAATCAGTTAATATCTGCCAATCTAAAGGCACAGAAACAAGAAGAAGTAAAAATGGTGGCAGCCTGTTCTGTGTGCATCATTTTCTCAGTTTTGCATAGGTTACCTTATAATTTGAGCCAGTAACTCATATGAAATCAGTCTCTGAGAAGGGGTATGTTCAAAGTCATGAAACTTCTGAATTTGTAAGACATAATTTTTCTTAGTCTTCTGACCAATCAAATTTATGAAATGTAGGGTTTTGCATATGTATAAAGCTATCTAAGGCTTATATCATACATGTGTCTCTCTGTGTTACAGTGCATTGTAAAACTAGTGAATGGAGCCTGTGGAACCCTTGCACAAAGAAAGGGAAAACATGCGGTTTCAAAAGAGGGAATGAAACAAGGATCAGAGAAGTCCTACAACTTCCTTCTACAAAGGGTAGCCCATGCCCACATACAAGTGAGACAAGAAAATGTGTTGTACAAAGAAAGAGATGCCAGAAAGGAGGAAAAGGTAGAGTTTCATCATTTCACTTAAGTTTATGATTGTTTTATATACTTGAATGTATGAATATATTCCTTACCAAGGCACATCATAACTACCATTTGGTCTTAATGGTAGTTTTGGCTTGATGGTTCATGTGCAGTATTTTGGATTTTGGCCTGCAGCTTTTGTCTCTTTAAACAAAATATAATATTTTTGAATTCTTCAGAAACTAATACACAGCAAACATACTTTTTAGGTTGCTACCCAAACAAGACTAGTGTCAGTAAAATCAAACAGACCACAAAATGATAGCTAATTGAGCTGAACTTGAAATTAATTACAGGATTTTGAAGTTATTTAGTACCCGAAAGATTTAATCTTTCCTGAATTATATATTGCTTTTCAGTAAAAAGTGCAGTCACCAAATAGAACAATTGTTTACAAACCATTATCTGATCATTCTCCTGGATATCCAAAAGGATCATTTAGTGATTACTAACCATTACCCACATAATTCACTTGGATATCCAATAGGATGGGGGGGAGCTCTTTGTCTTTTTAGAAAGCATATTTAGACTTTTTAAAAATGAAAGTTCTGTAAATTTTTATTCTGCTTTAAAAATTAAAATTCAGAATAGACCTTTTCCCCCACAATCAACATGATACAGGATCTAACCTGTCTCCTAAATTATATGACCTGATAGTCAGAAACAAAGCATTTCTGGAGACCTGGGCTCCCAAGTACTTACCTTAATTTGGCGGGGGATGTATAGTTCTTCGTGGGACCATTCCCGCGGGGAAAACACAGGCGCTGCAGTATTCCGTTGCCCAGACATGACGTAGGCACGTAGCCGGGTGACGCTCTAGCAATGGGGCTGGGAACTCGATGGTACCATTGAGTTTCCAGTCCCATTACCAGAGCGTCGCCCGGCTACGTGCCTACGTCACGTCTGGGTGACGGAATAGTGCAGCGCCTGTGTTCCAAGCAAGAATTTCCCGGTGGGGAAGCATGTGTCCCCCGCCAGATCATAGGTAGGTACTTGGGAACCCTACTGGAGACCCATTCTAAAGAAACAGAAGATTTAGTTCTCAAATCATGATCAACTCTATTCCATTTCCCCTCACATACTTTCCTTGATTTTATCCATTATCTAATTGTAATAGTATGTATTAGGCCCAGGAAAAACAATCATATTTATATTTATGCACAGAGGGGGGCATTTGGTTGTGCCTGCTGGCCCCTTCCCTTTCCTTGTGTTATTTGTAATTTCTGTACATTGGTCTACACATACATAAGCTCTAGTTCTTGGTCTGTACTAGTTTCAGAAATTTAAGGGTATAGATCACATGTTCAAAGTATTCATGCATAGACTTCTAAATGTAAGTGGCAACCAATGCATAGATGTCAGTTGGACTTTGTACAACACCAGCCTCTCCATCTTCAACTCAAATGTTCATCCAGGTTGATATCTGTTCAGGAATTCAGTTTCATTATTAAAAAGAGTCTCCATATTCTCTGAATCCAGAGTTTGTTTGAAATATCAGCCTTTTTTTAATGGATATTTCAATTGCAGCTGTTATCAATAAGCTTAATACTCATTCTATGTTTTTTTCATTAATGACATATTTTATGCAACTCAGCAGAATTAATACTGGGTTTAACATTACATTATACCCTTGTGATGCCATTACCATAACAATTTTGTCCAGAATTTTCCAGAAGATTTTCAGGTATTAAAATCTTCAGCCTTTTTTCTTAATAGCAGGCAATTAAATGCCATTTTATTCACTTACACTTTTGTACTACCATGTAGCCATCTTGTCTTGTTATAAATTTTTTTATTGTTTTCAACATATATTATATACATAACAACATAACAACTCCACATCCCCCACCAATTTACCCCACAAAACCAACATTGCACCCAGCACACTAAACACTCTCACCGCCAACACAGAATTTCTCCTGTTACATATTAATTCTTGTTCCAACCATCTATATACTGGTGTCCAAACATTTCGAAATGAAGTGTTCATATTCCCGTTCACCTTTTGTGTTAAGTTATCCATTTCAGCTACATCGAATATTTTACTTATCAATTCCCCTTTGGTTGGTACCTGATCGGTCTTCCAGCCCTTTGCGAGTAAAATTCTCGCAGCTGTTAATATATGCAAAATTAAGTACTTTTCTTTTTTCTTCCATTTATCAGGGCATATATTTAATAGGAACACTTCTGGATCTAACGGAATTGTTTTTTTGGTTATCTGATATAACACACCTTGGACCTCCTTCCAAAATTTGTTAACCTCATTGCAGGCCCACCAAACGTGGTAATATGAACCCAACTGTGTTTTGCATTTCCAACACCTGGCGTCCAGGCCCTCATACATTCGGGCTAATCTTTCAGGTGGCATATGCCATCGATGCACCACTTTATAGATGTTTTCTTTCAATGCTACTGCTTTTAGCCACCTTGTATTATTCCATATCTTCTCCCACTTTGTCCCATCAACCTCACATCCCACATTCTCTATCCAAGGCTTCATGGTTATTTTCATAACCTCATCTTGCATCTCTTGCTTTAGGAGAAAAGCATATATTTTGCCAATCATCTTAACATCTTCCCCTAAAAGAATTTTGTCTAATTCCGATCTCCCAGAAATGAAGCCAGTCTGTTTGTCTTTAATATATTTGGAACTTAACTGGTTCCTTTCCCACCATGAAAATTGTATACCTTGTGCCCCCAACTCTTCTTGGGATTTTAATTCATTATTGCTGTGCAATAGAATCTCATAAGTTGAGGCTCGTGCCTCAGAAATGAATGTGGGTAGTACCATAGCCTCTAATGGGGCTATCCATCTTGGCCTCTTAGCATAGAATGCTGTTCTAATCTGTTTCCACACTTTTAGTAGGCTAGCTCTGATTATGTGGTGCTTGACATACGAATTAGTCTCCTCTTTCCTATCCCAAAGTATTGCATGCCATCCTACCATCAGATTGAAACCTTCCAAATTCAGCACTCTTGTATTTTTTAAAAGAATCCACTCTCTAAGCCAGGCTAGCACAGCCACCTGGTAATACATTCGCCAGTTCGGTATTGCTAGTCCCCCTTTTTGGTTTTTTTCCTGTAAAAATTTTAGCCTGATTCTTGGCTTCTTCTTTTGCCAAACAAAATCTCTAACCAACTTATCCAACCTTTGAAAATATTTAAAATTGCGGAGAACTGGAATGGTTTGAAATAAAAATAACACTTTTGGAAGCACTGACATTTTGATCGTGGCAACCCTCCCCATCATTGACAGCTGTAACAATGACCACTTATCTAAATCTTTCTTGACAGTGGTCAGTAGCGGTTCATAATTATCTTGGATTAGCGTACTAATTCTATTGGTTATATGTATCCCTAAATATTTTAATTTCTTAACCACTTTAAACTTCGAAATTTCCTCTATCTCCCGAATAATATTTTCTCTACAGTTCTTTGTTAGTACTTTTGTTTTCTCTGTATTAATTCTAAAACCCGCTAACTGACCAAATTTATCAATCGTATTCATTAATGGTATTATGGAGTCCGTTGGGTCCCGCATCACAATCGCCATATCATCCGCATACAATTGTAATTTGTATTCTTGCCCTTTGACCTTAATTCCTTTTATTCTTTCCTCTTTTCTAATAGCTTCGCTCAATCCTTCTATTACCAGAATGAATAGTAAAGGGGAGAGGGGGCATCCTTGATGAGTGCCTTTTTCTATTTTTATTTTCTCTGTCATGTCTGTATTAACCATGATTTTTGCTTCTTGTTTTTTGTATATTATCTCTATTCTATTGAGGAACTCGTCTCCGCAGCCCATCTCTTTTAGGTTTTCAATCATGTAATCCCAATTTATATTGTCGAACGCCTTCTCGGCGTCGAGAAAAGCTATCGCGATCTGTTTGTCTGAATTTAGCTCCCCATATTCCAAGATATTTAATATTATCCTCACATTCTGTCTCAATTGCCTTTTAGGCAGGAACCCTGCCTGATCCACATGTATCAGTTGGGCAAGGACCTGTCTCAAGCGTTGCGCTACAATAGAAGCATAAATTTTATAATCGACGTTCAGCTCATAGGTAGGTACTTGGGAACCCTACTGGAGACCCATTCTAAAGAAACAGAAGATTTAGTTCTCAAATCATGATCAACTCTATTCCATTTCCCCTCACATACTTTCCTTGATTTTATCCATTATCTAATTGTAATAGTATGTATTAGGCCCAGGAAAAACAATCATATTTATATTTATGCACAGAGGGGGGCATTTGGTTGTGCCTGCTGGCCCCTTCCCTTTCCTTGTGTTATTTGTAATTTCTGTACATTGGTCTACACATACATAAGCTCTAGTTCTTGGTCTGTACTAGTTTCAGAAATTTAAGGGTATAGATCACATGTTCAAAGTATTCATGCATAGACTTCTAAATGTAAGTGGCAACCAATGCATAGATGTCAGTTGGACTTTGTACAACACCAGCCTCTCCATCTTCAACTCAAATGTTCATCCAGGTTGATATCTGTTCAGGAATTCAGTTTCATTATTAAAAAGAGTCTCCATATTCTCTGAATCCAGAGTTTGTTTGAAATATCAGCCTTTTTTTAATGGATATTTCAATTGCAGCTGTTATCAATAAGCTTAATACTCATTCTATGTTTTTTTCATTAATGACATATTTTATGCAACTCAGCAGAATTAATACTGGGTTTAACATTACATTATACCCTTGTGATGCCATTACCATAACAATTTTGTCCAGAATTTTCCAGAAGATTTTCAGGTATGAAAATCTTCAGCCTTTTTTCTTAATAGTAGGCAATTAAATGCCATTTTATTCACTTACACTTTTGTACTACCATGTAGCCATCTTGTCTTTAAGTAAACTGTTCCTTTTAAAAAATAAATAACTTTTATTTATATAATATAGCAACAATTTACAGTAGCACATACTATCAGGAAACCACTATAATAAAAACATAATTAAAAACACAAAAAACACAAG